GTACGGCCCAATCCATTTAAAAGGGGCTTTATATCTAGATTTTTTTTGAACCATGGTGGTTGATTATAAAAGGGATAATAAATAAGAGCAAAAAAAATAAAAATAAAAAATAAAAAATACTCCCTCGATACCTCTCCCAATTTTTTTTTTTAATTTTTTTGTGATGTACTCTTTTTATTATGTATTAAAAGGTGCAGTTTGTATAAACCTCAAACAATCACGATAAAGTAAACCTCAAAATCTAAGATATATTTTTGGTGCCAAAACTTTTATCATGACCTGAAAGTTTATTTTTCACCCTTATAATGAAATTGAAAGCTCCGAACATGGTGCAAATCTAGTAGTTCTATGAGCACTTGAAAATGGACGGTCTAGATAATGTGTTACAAAATATACTATTTTTAAGATTTAAAATTCATTTTTTCGTTCGTCTCTACGTATATCTAGATCAAGATGATCAATTGGAGAATTTTTTAGTGATGTAACAACCTTCAATGGGTTTTTGATGTGCACCTTACTCATACAGTATAAGGTTGTCAACTTATATAAACTTTTTCCTTTATTAAATAGAACATGAGAATCTAAGTTCAACTCATTTCCTGTTTGGAAAACCTTTCTATACGGTGAAACTCACATATTTTATATATGACTCTTGTTCTCTATCTAATCTAATTGGATGATGGGATAACTTTAGTTACTATTTCAAACCAAATATTGTTTTTATTTATTTATAATATTTTATGCATTTCATTTTGGGATGAAATTTGGGGCTTACCTACTTTCGCTAGGGTGCACATGACAAAATTTTAAAAGATATATTTTTGATAAATAAAATGTCTGAACTATTCTGTAAGTTATAAGGGCGTTTTGGTCTTTTTATTCTAACAATATTTTAATCTCGTGGTTTTCCAGGCCTTTTGAATTTTACTTTTTAGTTAAATATGGCAAAGGTTTATATGCTCATCGTGCATAAAAGATATGCACTTCTCCTTCCATGCAGCTGTCCAATTTAGATCATGTAAGCCACTGACCGTTTAATCTAGATCCCATTCCTTATAATATTATGCTTTTATTTATTTATTTACTAATTATATGAATATGAAATTTGATAAGTGCCATCATCTCAATGGAGCGTAAATAAAATATTAAAAAATATTTTCGATAAAATACAAGGACCAAAATATCTCTCAAACTTTCAGGAGTATTTTGGTTATTTTATTTATTGAGAATAATTTTTTATATTTTTTATACGTACGAGTTTAACAGAAGAGTAGACTCCTAAAATTCGGTGTAAAAATGTTTTGTAGAAAAAAATTAAAAATAAAATAGTGTAGAAGCCGTTCATCTAGAATAGACGGTTGGATAGGAGGAAGTATATAAGTTTTGTATTGTCGGGGATGCATATAGATCCATTAAATATAGCCTGATTTAGATTGGGGAAAAGTTTATATAGAGCCTAGGCTCTAAACAATCAAATTAACGCTCACCTCAAAAATTTCACTAAAAGATGTTGTTTTGATGCCCAAATATCGTCAAATTGATTATTAGGAAATCAAGTTGCATGGACATCCGAAAAAAAAGAAAAAGGATTTCACGTTTTAGAATAATGCATCTTGTAACGTATTTTTGGACGTCAATTTTTTAGTAATTCAAGTTTTCATAGATATGCTCAACCTACACTATTTTTGCAGTTTTAAATTTTATAATTAAAGATGAAAATATATTTTAAGGCTGGTCAAAGATTTTCAATATTGAAATTACATTTTTCGATACTATTTGAAAGTGTGCTCCAATTTGACTGTTTAGAACCTCGGCTCTATACAAACCGCACCTTTTAGATTGGGGCTGGTCCGAGTCGAACCGAGGGAATCGAGGTCGAGCCCTTGCCCTTGTCAGAACTTGATCAGTGTTTTGGAATCAGTGTTTCAACTTAAGCTTAAAACCCGAACCTCAAAGTCTTCACCAAGGACCAAGATCTCTCTCACTCTCTCTCCCCAACTTGCTTCCCATATTTACCTCTCCATATGAGCTTAAACTCTTGAGCAGAATCAGATTCTCAGGCACCGTTCACTTTAGGAAGAATCACCTGTGTCGACAGATCTAACTAAGCATACAGGCAAATAGATATGGAATGTCTAAGCAAATTGGTCGCCAAAGGATTTTATGCTCCTGCAGGTGCATGCTGTTTATTTACTCTTCTACCCATAGACTAACCTCAATAAAGGAACTTTCCAAATTGCACCAATTACTAGAGTTTGAACCTAAATAACTCAGGCACTTCCATTCCATCTCTTTAGAGAAAATTTAAAGTTTGGTACTATTTTCTTCAAGGTAAGTATACTATGGATCATATGATCATGCACCATACGATCAATAGGTTTGACGGTCATGGATGGAGAACGAGCGGTACGAACAAATTAGTGACATTCTCCAAAACCCACTCTCCATCCATGACCATCCAATCCTGACTGACATTGATGATTCTCAGAACCACATTGTCACCATAATCATATGAATAATACCATACTTTCCCTCCTAAAAACGATCAATTTATCCGATCACAGGAAAAACCGGCATTCATATTTTGCGTCGAGGACCGTGCACTTTTCTGTCGGGATTGCGACGAGCCCATACACACCACAGGTAGTCTGAGTGGCAACCACCAACGGTTTCTAGCAACAGGAATAAGGGTGGCACTTGCCTCTGCATCGAAGGACACATCGGTGCCCATTGTCCCTGAGCCACCGAGCCGAAATTCCCAAAAAGTGGCTGAAAAAGAACTCCAAGTGCACGCGCCCAGCGCCTATGCATCTCCGTCATGGCCGGATGATGAGCTACTACAACTGTCAGATTTCGACGCGAACGATAAGGTAATTAAGATCGTGCTTAAATCTAATCAAAGGTAGGATTGAGGGTGATTTAGTGATGAAGGTTTCTGTTAACAGGTACCCGGACAATAATGGGATAGGAAATGATCAGTCTTTTTGTGCAAAATGTTTTTGGGTGTATACATTGTTTGTCAAGGGTAGAATGGAGATTATTTGACAGCTTAGGCAGACCCTTAAGTAAAAGTAATTTGATGAAAGAAAGAGGTGGGTGTGTGTGTGCACGTACAGAAAAAAAGGATTTTATAAATTATTTACAAAATTGACATTATTTGTGATTAATGGGTACATGCCTATATGTGTATTTGTGTACTTGCATTGATTTTTCTCTTTATTTTTTTTGTCCTAATTTCAAATAGGCTCACTATTTATTTTTAACTTCGTGTGTATGTGTGTGCATTTACTTTCTTTTTTCCTTTAATTTTTTATTATGTCCTTTTTGGAAGTTTGCCTGGTTCTTTTGTGTTTGTGTGACCTTTCTACTATTTTCTATCAATATTTTAGACTTAGGGTTCATTTGTTTCGTGTGAAAATATTCCCACAGCTAATCCCGTGACATCATTTTTTCAAGTAAAAAATATTTTTTAAAAAATATTTTCATGCGAACCAAATGCGGAAAGTAACATTTGTTCACTCTTTCCACTCTCACCTTGCATGGTTGTACATTAAGGGCACACAATAAGTCTCGCTTTTTTTATTTTAAGGAAAATTATTTAAATGGTAAAAAAACCTTTATAAGATCATTTAGGGGTCAAAGATCTCAGTTGATATTATAAGGATTGTTTTTCAATTTTCATTTTACTTAGGTACTTCTTTAAAGAATAGCTTAAAAATTTCCTAAATTGATGTCGTTTGGGGTTGAGAATCCCAAGCAAGAAGCAGCATTTCCATTGTTTTACCCATTGAACAACATGGCTACTCTCTTATTTCGATTGAAGCCCCTTAAGTAGGTCAAATTACTCAAATTTCCCTACTTGTTTAGGATTTTCAACCTTGAAAAAAGGCAATTTGGGCATTTTAAAAAACATTTTTTGAAAAAATACCTACGTAAAATTAAAATTAACAAGTACTCTTTAATATCAATCGTAATGTTTTGACCTGTACAATGATTTTGTTGGGGTTATGACTCCTTTAATGATTTTTCCCAATTTATTTTTTATTTTTGGAATTGTTAATGATTAAAATTCAATAGTCTCAAGAAGGGTGGACATGGATATTTATCTTGTTTACAAAAAATTGAGTCTATATACATAGACTCTACAAAAGTTCTTTAACAAAAGGAATGGTAATAAAAAGAATGACAAGAAGCCTCAGTCTTTCCCCTCACTTTTGTTTTGATGTAGAGAGAATGCATTGGATTTGGAGGGCTAGATTGGATGGAAGACATTGGGCTTTTCAATGAGGATGTACCACATGAGAGCTTTGGTGCTGCACAGGTGCCTGAAATATCAAATTTTAACAATGCAAGGCCTCCAACCTCCAAGTCCTTGGTGTCTCTCAAGAAACCAAGGCTAGAAATTCCTCAGCAAGAGGAGGATTACTTCACTGTCCCTGACCTAGGGGACATCCATACTTAGGAGTTTTTATGCATATCCATATGGGGTGTACGATACTCTTGTTTCACTAAGGCACATATATACTTCAGTTTTTATGCATGTATATCCAAACTTGGGTTTCTATGGATTTGTGTTATTTATATTCCTAATCTATAAATTTAGGGTTTGGGGTCTCTATTTATCATCCCTCTGATATATGTATCATTTTGCTTTCTTTACTTTTATGTGTTTTTTTGTTCCCTTGCTAGGGTTCAAATCAAAATTTTCAAAAAGAAACTTAGAACTTATGAAAAAATTGAGATTTAATTTTGCTACTCATATGTTGGTGTAAGTAACATTTTTACCTAACTAGGCCACCAAACTCCTAACAACAAACAACCCAATAAAGATCATGCCCCATATAAACAATTCATGAAAATTGGGGTAACTAATGACCACCACCATGAATCTTGGCATGAGCAAGGTTAAACTAATGGCCAGACAATGGAAGCTTCCTCTCTTTATGTCCCCATAAAACCCTTCCCCCATGTCAAGGATTCATCACCCTAGATCCTTTCTCTTAAGGACTCCAAACCCACATTACCAAAATGAGTTCAATTAGACACAATTCTCCATCACATCTCTCAAACCTTGCCACCATAGTTCTCTCACTGTCGATATTCATGCCGAATTTCGCTCTCCCTAAAACCCTAGATTCTGACATCGAAGCCCTCCGCAGCCTCAAAAATGGCATCGATCCCTATAGCATCCCCCCCACCACCTTCCTTGACACATGGGACTTCTCTGTGGACCCTTGTGAGAACACTGGGTCCCACTTCGTAGGCATTCTCTGTGACATTCCTAGTGGCAACACGTCGCAACGCATTGTGGCCCTTGATCTAAATAGCATGGGGTACGATGGCTTCCTGTCACCATCGATTGGGAGCCTCACAGAGCTCACCTTTCTTGACTTGAGCAAAAACCGATTCCGAGGGCCTCTTCCCGAGTCTTTCACTCGTTTAACCAAGATTACTACCCTCTCTTTGTCTGAGAACATCTTCACTGGCTACATCCCCTCAGAGATCACGAACCTGAGGTGGCTCCAGTACCTCGATCTGTCAAAAAATAACTTCATAGGTACCCTACCCCCGACTTTTGTAGATCTTAGGCAACTTACACATGTGGACGTATCCTACAATCTATTCTTTAGCAATCTACCAGACCTTGATGCGCTTTGGCAATTGACATCATTAGCCTTAGACCACAACCATTTCGAAGGAGGCTTGCCCAGACTACCCTCAAATTTAAGGACACTATCCCTTAACAACAACTTGTTATCGGGCCGTCTACCTCCTACCATGAGACTCCCTCACCTAGAGGCCTTGGACTTGAGTAACAATCAATTTACTGGAACAATTGGATGGGGGTTACTCTTGCTTCCATCGATCCGAAGGATCAACCTATCATTCAATTTGTTCACAAGTATAGAGGTCTTTAATGCTACTAACATGACCACCACCTTGGAGGAATTGGATGCAAGCCACAACAGGATCCAAATGCATTTGCCCTTGGGTCTGGCTACCATAGAGAGCATGCTTTCTATTCATCTTGAGGGGAATAGTTTTGTGGGCAGGATCCCCCCAGAGTATGGTGCAAGGGCCATGAACTCGTGGAGACAGTTGTTTCTCAACGATAACTATCTTGAAGGCTCTGTGCCATCAGAGTTCAAGAATTTACAGAGAGAAAAGCTCAATGGGAGTTTAGCAAGCAATTGCCTTGTATGCCGAAATGGCCATTACCTTTGCGAGGGGCGCCAACGCCCTTCCTCGGAGTGCCATAGACATGGGTGAAAGGAACTTTGACTAAACACAAGACAATAAAAATGCATGGGATTGTGCTACAAATGTTTTTCTTCTCTCTCTCTTTCTGAAAATTTATCAGTGGAAGTATCGTAACAGTTAGGTATGTTTGGTTCGTGCGTAAATGTTTTCTGCTCTCTCTTTCTGAAAATTTATCAGTGGAAGTATTGTAACAGTCAGGGTACATTTGGTTCGCACGTCAATATTTTTCGAGAAATATTTACATATGTAAATACTTTACTTGTGTAAATATCTGCATATGCATTCTTTTTACGATGTTTGGTAGCACATTTAAACAACACTGTGTAAACGATTTTCTATGTTTGGTAGCTTTTGGTTGGTGTGAAAATATTTACACAAAACCTTGAATATATAATGTGGAAAAACTAACAATTGCTGGGCAACTATAATAAATAGTAAAATAGGTGGAATTCCAACCGTCAGATCTTTATCATGTGGTTCAGAATGCATATCACTGTATGCATTTTAATATTTTTTTTAGAAATCGGATTATAATAAAATTTTAGACATGTGTACTGAAAAATAGGGTGCACAATTAAAAAACATTCTCAAAATATAAAATGATCGAAATACCCCTAAAAATGATGGGGGTAATTTGGTCATTTCAAATTATTGTAAATAAATTTTTTTATATATTTTTATATGGTACGCAATAGTGTTAAGTATATACACCCAAAATTTCATCTTAATAATATTTGTAGAAAAATTAAAATTAAAATAGTAATATATATTTTGAACCACTCGATGAAGATCTGACGGCTGGGATTCCACCTATATATTCATTATAGCCACGTAGCTATTATAAGGTTTACTTTGTAATATAATAAATATATTTATTGTAAGTTATATATTGTATATTATATTTTTATTTATTATAATAATAATAATATAATATAAGAAATATAAGATTTATAGTTATAATATATATTATATTTGTAACATATGATATTTATAAATAATGTGAATTTTAAATTACATAAATACTATATTATATATTATTATATTATTGGAAAAGTTTATATAGAGTCTAGCTCTAAACAATCAAATTAGAGCCTACCTCAAAAATTTCACTATAAAAGGTTGTTTTAATGTCCAAATATCTTCAAATTGATCATCTCAACATCATGATGCATGGACTTGAGAAAAATGGATTTCAAGTTTTAGAAATAGTGCATCTTATAATGTATGTTTGGACCGTCAATTTTTAAGTTATTCAAGTTTTTTTAGATCGGCTCGATCTACACTATTTTTGAAGCTTTAAATTTTATAATTAAATATGAAAATATATTTTAAGGCTAGTCAAAGATTTCCATAATTGAAATCACATTTCTCGACACCATTTGATGGTGGGCTTTAATTTGATTGTTAAGAGCCTCGGCTCTAGAGGCTCTATACAAACCGCACCCTTATATTTATATATAATATATACTACAATATACTATACTTTATATTTATTTTATTAATGTATATTTGTCTTAAATATAATATAATATAATATTTATTATAATATATGATATTTATAAATAATATAAATTATATAAAATATTATATTATATATTATATAATATAAATATGATTTCATAAAATAGCTCATCTTCGGTGTGCAAAAGTTCGCCGGGGAGTATTTCCACACCTCAAGAGGTGTGGTTTCATTTTACCTTGTTTTGACCCTTTCATGATAAAATATTTTACCATGGTAAAATACTTGCATATGCATTTGGAACGAACCAAACTGTGAAACACAATTTACATATATAAATATTTCACCCTTAGTGTTGAGGCTTTTACGAAAAGAAAAACTTTATATTAGGGTAAGGCTCTAAACAACTAAATTAAGGTGCATCTAAAAAATTCACCAAAAGAAGTTGTTTCAATGCTGGAAAGCCCTTAAATTCGATCATCTTGATCTCAAGACATATGGACATGAGGAAAAATAGATTTTGAGTATTGGAAATAATGCATCTTGTAATGTATTATCTAGACTGTCAATTTTTAAGATTTTCAAGTGTTTATCAATCTGCTCCATATATACTATTCTTGAATCTTTAAATTTTATAATTAAAGCTAAAAATAAAGTTTTAGGCCATTATAAATATTTTTGATACAGAAACAATATATTTTGGCACTATTTGAAGTTGTGCCATACTTTTATTCTTTATGGCCTCAGCCTTATACAAACCACATCCTACTTTATGTAATGTTATTTGGATTTATATCACCGTGTCTATCTAGTTTCTTGATTTGGATCCAATGAATGTATAAAACTTAATAGAGTTCTATAGCCTAAACTTTAAAGTAGGTTCTCAATTGAATACTTCTATATGAGTTGCTGCATATACAAGAGAAAGGAAGGATTTCCTGTGTGTGAATGTGGTGTAGCGAATTGCGAGCATATCTTCGCTTTCTTTTTAGGCCTTGGCTTTATGAAAACAAAATAAAGCCTCACTTCGAATCTTCGTCCGAAAAGTAATTTGGGCATACGAAATCTTTATGATAATACTAAAATCAATTTTCAACACCAACTATGAAATTGGAAACTAAAGCAATGGTACAACTTTTGCAGATTCAAAAACAGTTATTTTTAGGGCGAAATGGACGATTTAGATAATTTTATTACAATAAATACTATTTTTAAGATTTGAAATCCTAATTTTTTTTCACAACCATAATGGTCAAGGCCAAGATGATAGATTTGAAGGTTTTTTGAAACCAAAATGAAAATTTTCAGTGAGTTTTGAGGTGGAGCTTTACTTGTGTTGATAGGGCTACAGCCCTTTGAAAGCATTTTCCTTCTAAAGAGAGGTAACACAATATCCTGGGGAATGTAGCACTCAATAATGTAAGAAAGGGAGAGACTACAGTGGGAGCACATTATATACTTACTCACTTGGGTAATAATCCTACTCGACAAGATCAAAACAAGTATTTTCAAAGCAAAAAATAGATTTTTGAGTTTGTGTCTGTATGTTGAAGGTCTCCATTCATTCTTATGTCATAATTTTTTCAGGTACATATAGTGTGAATAAATGGATTTTTTTTTCCTCTAAGCTAAGGAGGTTGCATCCTCAAAGCTTGAGGTCCTAAAAATTACTCCTAGATAGAAGTGAGTGGACAATATGCTCCATGCGGGGATATAATTTCTTGGCCATAAAAGATTTGAGTTTCCTCTCTCTCTCTCTCTCCACCATGTGATATGTGGATCCTACGGTTTATGTTCGTCACGGATTAGAAGGAGAGAAAGTTGAGGGCTCAAATTTGCTTGATATCAAATGAGAATATATATGGGATTTTATACCTAAGGCCATTTATTTTTGTTATAATGAGGTCATAATCACTTTTAGTCACTTAAATGTCAAATTGGATGGTTTGAGATGTGCCATAAAATCTATAATTTTGTTTTTTCGAACTTTGAATCTAATCAATGACACTGTTGCAACCATACGAGAAGGTGGATTTCTGGAAAAGAATTTGCAATGAGATGGTTAGGCACTTGGAGTACCCAACCACATTATTACGGAGAAATAGTTTTGTTGTTGGATAAATTCTAAAAAAGGAGAAAAGAAATACAATCCGGCACATCCAAGTCTAGATTGATGGTATTTTGAGAAAACCTGAAAGGAAAAATACATATTGGTTTGAAATTTGTAAATATTAAGACTTTTTTTTTTTTTTTACAAAAAGAACTTTTACATTAATCCCCCAATAAACTACGATACATACCATAGATTTTGTAATATATAGGTACTATGTGTATATTTACCCAGTGCCCACCGACCACTAGGTAGGTACTGGACTTGGACCAGGGGTTAATCTCGGCCTCAGACCCAAACTCAATTGGAACCAAGTCAATTAGATCTAGGCCTGCAAGGTTAGAGGGTGAGAATGTTTTGATAAGAAATTGAGAGAGGAAAAGTAAGAGAAAGAGAGAGATTCTTTTCCCTTTAAAAAGAATATTTCATATCGGAAAAAATTTATATAAGGTTGCAATCTTAAAATATATAATTACAGATGCACCTTAAAAATCTATTGAAAAATGTTGTTTTAATGTTAAAAAACCTCTAATTGGTCATCTCAAGATTGAGATGTATGAATATAAAAAAAAAAAAAAGATTTTGAGTCCCAAAAATAATGCATCTTGCAATACATTATCTAGACTGTCCATTTTCAAGATTTTCATATGTTTATAAATCTACTTGATTTTAATCATTTTGGGAGTTTAAAATTTTATAATTAGATATGAAAATAGATTTTAAAATAATCTTAATAATATTTTTCAACAAAATTACATGCTATGATCCAATGTGGAGGTGTGCCTTAATTGGATTGTTTAAGGTTGCAGCCTTATAGAAACCGTACTTTTTACCTTTTGTATAGGAAGATCACAATTATACAAATATCTGATGTGAAATCAGATAGCTTGGGTGTGTCACAAAGTTCGATTTTTTTTTTTTTTTTAACTTTGAGCTTGGCCAATAAAATAAATGCAGCTACACAATTTTACATCTATTGGTCAAGATTAATTTTGACTGCCTTTTACTTAAGGTAAATGGTCTCATTATATAACTTCCCTTTCATATTCAATGAAATGTAGTTTTTAGAGGTAGGGGACTTTTAAGAGAGGGAGAATTACATGATTCTAGGACTTATTACTAATTTTGTTATCATTTCAAATACCTTAGTATTGTTTTTCTCTGTAGGGACTTCTTCATGAATTTTTGGGGTGATTTTGGATGAAAATATTTCTCATACTCAAATATGTGAAAATTAAATTAAGGCTTTCTTTTAGTTTTATGTTTTATAAACGGTTGAATTGATTTTTGGAAAGAGAGAATAGAAAAAAAAAGAAAAAAAAAATTTGAATCTAAATGTTATGTGTTTGCCTATGAGAGACATCATCAGATCCTTTTTGTAACTATTTGTAGTCGACTAGATGAATCATAGTCCCTCATTCTATTCTATCAAGGGCCATACACTATGCCCTAGTGTAAGCAGATAATGTAGATTTATGATTCATGAAAAGTTTTGATAAAATTTTACATTCCACTATCTACACACAACCAACCTCCATTACCCGGGCTTGGAACAAGTTAAAAGAAAGTTTAAGGTGCTTACTCGTTTTAGACCAAATACATCGTCATCTAAAATACCATGAAAATTTACCTATGGAGTTGATGCAAAAACAATCGTAGAAGGATATTGAGTGTAATTTCTCATAAAGCATTGAGTATTGAAACTTTGGTGAAAGGGATATGCATAAGGAAAATTGTTTCATACTTGCCGGACAGGATTACTACATATGCAGTCCAAAAAGTGTAATGCATCAAACTTAAAGATGGATGCAAGTAGGTGTTCCATTTAAAAACAATAGAAACTAACTGTCTAAATATTTTCTTACTAAAATTATTATTTATAGTTTTTAAAATTTATTTATTTTTTCATATTCATGATCTTCATGTTAGATATTATATATCCTTAAAAAGTAAGTCCAAAAGTCCATCTAAAAAATAAATTTATTAATAGGCCTGCATTTCTAGGTATGTGGGCTTGGCAGCATGAATGCGGGCTTATGCATAATCGCCCCTTTAAAATATGGGTGAGGTTTGTATAAGGTGTCAACCTTATACTATTGAAGTAAGGTTCCATTCAAAACCATACTGAAAATGTAATTTCGGTGCCTCAAAGCCTTCCGATGATATAAAAATCTATTGTTTCCCCTAATTATGAAATTTAAAGTTATAGAAATAGTGACGATCAAGCAGATCTATAAACACTTGAAAATCTTGAAAGTATACAGTCCAGACGAACTATTTTTAAGACTAAAAATGCCTCTTTTTTTAAGATCTATGGATCTTGAGGTCGAGATGACCGATTTGAAGGTTTTCCAACATACGAATAATATTCTCTAATGGGTTTTTCTATGTGGACCTTACTTGTATAATATAAGGATGACATCTTATATAAACTTTTTTTAAAAATATAAAATGGTATACAATATGGTTATTCTTTTTTGGTTTATGAAGGCCCCAATTATATTGATCATTGGATCCAATTATCTCGATCATTAGATTTGAAATCATATGGATGGAAATGCATCCTCAATAAAGCGTGGGAAATGTTCAGACAATATGGGATTGTACTAAAGCTTTGTACAGTAATTTAGCATAACCATAGCAGTCAGATTTCAGTAATGGACGGCAGGTTTGTAGCATCAGAAAAGGCTTTACTTCAGTTTCTCTGTCACAGTATAAGAAGGCAGGCTCCAGGCCTTTTCCTTCACCTCCTGGTTCCATTGTAATAACGATTCTTAAAGGGAAAAAATCGGGAGTTATCAGTGTTTTTCAGTGATACACTTAAAAACCACTTAGTATTTTGTTTATTTATTGGATTGGTCAATGGATAATGATCAAGTGGAGCTGGCGCTGCAAGCTTTCGAAAACTCCATTTTTCGTGTTCAATGGAGGCTCAGAGCTGCTTCAAAAAGACGCCTGATTTTGGGTGTGAATCTCTTCATTGTTTATTCACTTTATTATTATTATTATTACTATATTGCTCTCTTTTAGCTGCATTTGATCAATTATGTCAATTTTATTAAAATTTCTGGTTGCTTAATTTGTGAGGATGTGTGTTGTTGAAATTGGTTTTTTTCTTTTAATGCTTATCGGTCTTCTACAATTCTATTATAGGATTTTCTTAAATCCTTAGATTAAAAAGTAAAAGAGGAAAATGAAAGATGTATTATGCCTATTTTTTTTTCCATTTGGTGTGATTTCACTTTTTTTATCAATATGTTTTCTATGAAATTTTCTGAATTACTGTTATACTCATAGCTTGTATGTATGTATTGTGGTTTGATTATTCATCGAGTTAGCATTGCCTAGAAAATGTGGTTTGCTAATGGTAGTGCTATGGCAAAATTGAAATTGATGAAAAGTAGGAAACCTCTTAAGAGAAATGCAGCTTGGGTACGACACCTATTAGGCGCATTGTGTGAAGAAGAGGAGATTTAGAATACATGAATGGCATGAGCAGTGAGGAAGATGGTTTTACATGTGTATCAAGCAGTGAATCTAATCTCGGCAAGTCTTGACTCGGACTTGCCCAAGTTACTGGGAGTCCAGAACCATTCCATGGGTATTGATCGTGTCTGGTATGTTCCCAGTATTATAGGACTTGACCTATCTGATGGACTCAGCCGAGTTGGTAAGACCTGAGGCAGGCTTGGGACCATAGAGAGTTGCAGTCCGAGTCCTTGTTTTATACCACTGGTTGGAAGTGGTATGGTCTTCTGATAATAAATAGATTCGACAATTAATTTGCTTTGATTCACTGCTAAATGGGCAAACACACTCAAACAAACAATTAGAATATGAGAAGAGATTGTTGGAAGATGATTATGTGATGCCATAGCTTTTTTGAACATCCCTTCACCATTTAAAATTGGGAAAAATGTTTGAATTGTTGAATTTTGGTTTCAGTGTCCTACTTGCTTGGAGATGAAAAACATTCTGGATAAATTGGAGAATTAAACAAGTAGCTATACAAATCAGGAAATAATTAAGCTGATGTATATGGGATTAAGGATGAAACAAATGAAAGAATATGTTTTGAATTCTCAATTCCATGGTGTTGGGTATAAAAAAAAATCTTGGACCTTCCATGATCCAATGGAACTTGGATTTTTTATGTTTGTCACGCCTTTTTCTTAAGGAGTTACTATTTTTATTTGTTTTAATCTCTGCATGTGCTTCCTAGTTTGATAAGTTAAGTTAGAGTAATTAAAGAATTGTATTTCACTAGCTACGAGGAATTAGAACCTCTTGGACTTTTTTATGGGCAGTTTGTGTAATAAATACATCTTCTCTCTAAACTCCTCTGGCAAGAGAATCTGCTCCCAAATTCGCATCTATAGTTTTGTCACACCTTTGAAGGTACCATTTGTTTCAATTTTGAATTGTCTTAAGATGAATACTGGGCAGGTATCATGCAAATCATTATTTGTCACTCATTTGAAGGTTCAATCTGTAATATCAAAATCTAGTCTTATGAAAACTGGGCATGCAGCTTGCGTATGCAACAGTGTTAGATTCATGACTCTGCAAGATTATTTCCATGGTCACATAACTCTGAGAATGGTTATTTTTTCAGTTTTATAAATGATTTCTTGTGAGAGTCAAAATGGATTTTGTCAATGAAAGGAAAAATGAAATTTTAGATGAAAAATTCATAACAATAATACTTTTCTCTATTTCAAGGGAAGGATTCATAGGTGTATAAACTTTTTCTCCACATCAATTCTTCAAGATAAAGTTTGATAACCTTTCAAAGTTCTTCTAAATAAAAATCCTCTGTCTCAATAGTTTATTAGATTTTGGTTCTGAGCCTTCGTTCAAGTTTTAGTTGTATCTTTTTCAACATGTCCGCTTTTCGAAAGGTTGACTGCATGGCTTGGAGCTCGCTGGACGAATCCTCCATGCCCACGTGCGCTCAATGGAAGTTTGTTCCCCTTATTCCCGTTACAAGGCCAGTCTTATTAGAAGACCAACATACCTTTCCATATAGTACATATTAGGTATAGTTCATGAAACAGTGGGTTTGTTGAATGGCATATATGTAACATGTATTTTTTCTTTTTAACTTGCACATTCCATCCAACTAGAAACTAAAGATGATTCTTCACTTCTGGATTGACAAAAGGGACATGGGTGCTTCTGTGCAGTGTTTAATGCATCTTTGAATGCTATCAAAGTTGCTTTCTTGGTAATTTTACTTTGGATTTCTGGTGCAAGTGAGAATCCACATTACCACCAACACACACACAAGGGAGTAACTTTTGATGGTGAAAGGGCTAACATAACACTATTAGCACAATGGCCCATATTGAATCTGGGCCGATGTGACGACCAATACAGTATTTGTTTTTAAGTTCTAATATTTCTTCTACAAATTTGTTTGGCCTGAAAATTATTTGAGGGTATGTATGCCACACCGAGGAGAACCAAAGAAAATATCAAAAAAGCAATATGAAAATTTAAAAAATACCCCCACCCTGATCACCAATGAGAGTCAGGGTATTTTGGTCACATTAATTTTTATTATTATGTTTTGGGAATTTTTTATATCACTTTGGTGAGGCCCACATACCCCCAAATTTCAGGTCATTGTAGAAAAATAAAAATAAAAATAAAAATCACATAGTGTCCATACAATCTGGTCATCGGATCGATCATGATTGAATCTGGGCTGCGCTAATACTGTTTCATTACATTAACGGTTGGGCTAATGAAAGTATTTTCTTCTGTGTAGGTCTTTGTGTTTGTGTGTAGGGGGATGTGTGTGTGTGTGTGTTTGTGTTAGAGTTTAGGGTCTTGTGTTAAGGTTCTTCCATTTTGTAATTTCCCTTTTGTTAGGAGCATCCTGGTATTAGAGCCAGTGGTTTGGCTATCTCCTGATGGTGTATCTTCCATTTTAAAAATGTTGGGAAAGAAAGAAGAGAGGGGGGAGGGAGGGTGTATTGGATTTCATTTTTTTTAATCAGTTATGGGCAATGAGTAGCAAGACTTTGTCCTCATCTCCTTTTTCTCTGCTAACAAAAACTGTAACTGGAAACAAGCTGAGATAGGTGATCTGAGCACTTTCTGGCACAGTCCTCTAGAAAGAAGCCCATCTAGGACTAGGAGATTGCCATACGGAGGCTAGCATGAGAATTGCACTGGTAAGCCGAAGGTGACAAACATCTATAAGCCAGAGGCCCACTACAGGCTTTTGGTCTCACATCTACATTGTTGAGGGAGGATTTTCAGAAGTATCCCACAATTTGGAAGAATCTTCTTCATCTCGCTTCTAAAACCATGGAAGCTGAGACAATTCATGGATAAAGGGATGCACCTCCTCAGAAGCTAGAAGTGGTGGTCACCACTAACCAGAGAGAACTTCAACACTTCCATACTTGTCTATGTACTTGAGAACGACTGCACCAACTTTGTTGCGATCCTCATCGGGGCCACCGAGGCTTCCCTAGCTCGTGAATGTATAAGGTTCTTCATGTCTCCTAACTTCGCCCTCCTTCTCATCGACCAGCACTTAGATCAGGTTCTGAGGTTACATACCAAGACCAGGGCTCTAATAGGCTCAAGAATTGGTCAAGGGAAAAGCACTCACCCATCACATGGAAAATCACTTACCAGGTTATTTAGAAGAAGACATTTCAAGGAAGGTGATGGTGCCACAAAGCATCATACCTCAATAAAGGTTCGCATCCTTGAGGTATGGTTCTGGAGCATTGGTTAGCAAAAGCTCTTGAGCTCCCTTGCTGGAGAGCTGGCTCGGTCGCTACAGGCCAAATCGCTATTGACTATGGTGAAAGCAATTTGTCCTCAGTAGAACCATACTTCCCAAATAGATGATCTGGGGCTATTCAGTGGGATTTCCCTTGCTCCACCTCAGCCAACGCAAAGACACCCTCAAACGAGATGCCAGTCCTTCATGAGGAGTATCCACTGGACCTATGGTGGAAATTCTGGCTGGCTGAGATTGAAGAATTCAGATTAGGAGCAAGTGGTTTGAAGAGCAGGAGATGGTTGACACCTGGGTTATGTCTATGGTGGTTGAATTGCAGTAGCAGGGAGTTTCAACTAGGTGTCAGCCAATTGGGAAACTCTCTACGTTTCTAACTTCCATCCGTTTGAACCCCTTAGACTCAACAGAGTTAGAAGAATCCATTTGCACAAATCTTCATCTCTGAAAGGAAATTCTGGCCAAGACCTCCTATATTGGCGACTTAACTGGACTAATACTGCCCTGCATGCTATGAACCATAAGATAGGCTACGACCAAGGAGAGCGAGTAGAGAAGCTTGTTCACTTGGTAGAGAAAATATGAGGAACCTACACCACGGTACAGACAGACCCACAATCTGTATGTGAAAGGAATTAGCCACCACAAACTCCTGTCTTTCTACAGGCGAAGGTGGTCGCTTGACAGCTGAAGTTGCGAGGAAGAGGCCAGGGAGGCCTCGTGCAGCTAATTCAGGGGAGATAAAGTCTGAAATACCAGTAGATGTACGAAGTTGCTGCTTTATATAAAAAAGTAAGAAAGGGTAAGCTTCGGGAGCAGCTAAAAATGATAGAAAGATAAAAGATAGACCTATTTCGAATATGAACAGCTCCTACCTTTGACAACCATAGAGGGAGGTTAGGTAGTCAAACCTAAAAGACCGCTCCCTCACCCGAGCAGGAAGATCTCTTATGGTCTCTTCAAGCTCGTGTTTCACTACCGATAGCATGTTACATGTGGTGCACAAAAAAGTCCCGAGTTCTTAACAACCGTCTTGTGCGTGCGTCTTGCCTTGTCTGTCCTTGCTTTAATCAAACCTATTCTTGTTCCTCTCTGTACCGGGCCTTGCTTGAGTAAGAAATAGATACGCCTGTTCCTGGCCTTGCTTGAGTAAGAAATAGATATGCTTGTTCCTGTCCGTCCTTGCCTTGCCTTGTCCGTCTTGCCTTCCTTGCTTTAGGTAAGTCAGTCCAGTCCAGGAATCTTCCGTCAAACGGTCTAGTTTCGTTAATAGGTTGGTTGATATCTCTGTTATTGATAGCAAAGGTCCACGCCTAATATGAAAGAGACACGCCTAAACAAAGAGGTAAGGTTCCTTCGGGTTGAGAAAGGAATCGATCTCTCTTTCGTTAAGGGAAGGAGAAATGCGCATCTTTTTCTATAGTACAAAGCACTCGTAGCACTTGGCGGGCTCAATTGTTGGATCACTAAGATTCATCCCCTGGAGGCAAATATGCATGTATGTTAATGTTATGATGCATTCTTCGCACTGGGCTTTTCTGTCTCTGCCTTATTCCCCTCAAAGCAACATCTGAGCAAGTAGCAGACCCAGTTGATCGAGTGGTTGAAGCAGTCAATTATGCGGATATAGATACATATGCAGATTCATACCTGGGCCCAAATGAAGCATCCGAGCACAGCACCTCAATGCAGAGTGAGGTATTTGCGGGGCCACCATTTTTCACATCAGGGCCGGTCAGCGCAATGCATGAGGAGGAATGTGCAGGAAAGACTCTTAGGCTCCTATCTGACACTTGTTTCATCTAAGGCTTTACTGGCTTATCCAAGTCTTCCAGAGAAAACCAATGAAAGTCTGGGCATTCCCTTAGATCTGACTTATGAAGACCGGTCCTCTTTCAATGAGGATTGAATGATCGGTCAATCTACCTGTGGACTGTAGATGGCCAAAATTCTGAGAAAATCATATCAGTCTGATGGTCGCTGCAGCCAATGCACCTCCGGCGTCTAATGAGTCTCAGGTGGAATCTCTCAACCTTCCTCACCCAGGGTCTCATTGGCACCATCAAATGCTGGTGGGATCAGTTTGATTAAAGAGGCAAAGAAGATTTATGGAACTCAGTTCAAGTTCGAGAGGATGGATATGCAGAGCTGGATTCTTTCGAGCGGAAGATCCCTAAACTTGTCAAGAGCCTACTGGCAACTATCATGATTCATTTGTATGGGCCCATGGAGGATCTCGAGCGCAGACACAAAGAGCACTCGTATCTCTATTTATTTCTTCCTTGACCCATTATAATTGCTACAAATACCTTTTCCTAGAATGGATGATGGCCAGAAGGCTGTCTATTAGGTGAAGTTCTTATCTGGCCTTTCTAGCAGACTAACAGACCTTCTTTGTTATTTGTTACAGAATAAATTTTCATACATATGTATACATGTACTTGCACATATCACATATAGTTTTGTTGTTCTGAAGGCCAACTTGGTGTGCTATTTGACAGATGTATTGGCACTTTGTACGGGACTAAGGCCAGTAGTAATGGTGGACTATGGTGGCAAGGTTCCTGAATTGCAAGAAAGACTATGCTCAGTTTTAAACCTGGTCCACAAGGTCTGACTTTGACTTGGAACAATCATTGTGACTAGTAACAAATAATTGTGTTAAGAGTTGTTATTTATGGCTTTATTTTGTTCTTCCAATTGACTCTTTTTGTTAAGAAATGGAAAATATTATGAAAAAATAAGTGGATTCTTCTCGCGCTCACCCTACTTGTGAGTGGCCGACCTTTGTACACATCTCTTCCTCAAAACAACAGTAAACTTTCTCAAAAACATAATAATTGGATTCTTCTCAAAGCAGAAAATGAGAACCCGGGTTTGATTGGACATACTGGAACATATACAAAGTAACTTCCTCTGGAGATTAAAGCCATATGTAGTTTCTTCAGGCCCAATCAGGTTGTGTTTATTGACTCACAATTCTGGCACACTGAAGGCTAACTAGATAACGGTGAAGAAATGTTGATCGTCAATACCATCACTACAAATCCCTCACAATATGAGTCGTGTTGCAGCCTTGGGTTTCCTTTCTAGTTGACTGATTGAGATTTAAGTAGATAACTGTGAAGAGAAGGAATCCATAGCTTCGGGGCTAAGATTCTGTTATACCTATACACTTGCTGCTCATCATTGTGGCTTGTCATTCTTTAATCTGATCTAATCTTTTTGAATCTGTCGTGAAGAATATTTTCTATTACACATGATTAATTAATTCTTGACAAATTTTGCCAAGTGTTTAGTTCTTCAATTTATTCAATTAAGTATATAAAATGAAACCGGTTCCTTACTATAACAAATAAAAAGAATTTGAAACTAGCTCTCTTCTCTTTACAGGAGTCATCCTTTTTCCTGCCCTTGAGAGTAATGATCATAGAAGAGATGGTTTATCTTGTACATATTGAAGGATTTTCTCAGCATGTTCTTTCAAGCCTAAGCCTGCAATGGCAGCTGCAATTCGTGGACCTTGATCAAGATCCTCCAAAGGTTGGTACCATTTTTACACTATAGACTTCTATTTTTTCCCAACTTCCTAACTCAGGTTTAACATTTGTGCCTTGCAATACTTTTATCACTTGGATATCTACAATTTGGTGGTTGACAGAAAGAAGACCATGTGTGTGTATTTGTGCATGAAATGCAACTTATCCCAAAAAACAAAGGTATTTGTAAATGAAAAGTCCATTACATGATGTGACTATATCTGTAATTTGCTAATTTGAAGCAGATCATTTCATATCAAGGCCAGAACTCCGTTGCATCTCAGCTTATAGCAGTTCAAAATTTATTCTCAGTGGCGTTTTCATCTGAAGGAACAAACAACCTTTTTATGGGCGCAACGCCTTCCAGGGATGTACTAGTTCCGTCTCAGCCTTCTCAATGTATTGACCTCAGCAGTTGTCTGGAAAACTCAAAAGTTGTGATTCCAACCCTAAATGGGTAATATTTCAATGAAGGCAATTCATACCTTTTCTGTTCTTAGCGTTTCCTATCTTTTAACAGCTAGTAATAATTTATGATGGGTACAAGTGCATGAAGTATATATGTGCAAGTTGACCTGAAGAATTACAACCTGAAAAAATCACTTTATTTCAAATATTCACTCTAACCAACCTGCTATTGCAAAGGCCCCTCTAAAAGAACCTTTATGAGCCTGCTGTTTATTACTTTCTTGACACCCCAAATAATGGCAACGACAAATCTTCCAAAAGGACTAGGCACTTGTCTTCAAGTTTTACCTGTTCTGTAGAGAGACTGTGACTTGCTCTGATAAGAAACCCATGCTGTGTCCCATCTGTTTTTGTTCCGGTAGGTCCTAGATGGCAGGATACATATGGTGTCTGAGCTACTCAAAAGGTGCCTAAGCTCATCAATCTCTTCTAGTCAACCATGTTGTGATATAAGAGGAAGATGTTCCACCACTAACAGACCAGAAACAGAAATATTGTGCTTTGCATATAATATATCTTAACAGCGGTTCCATTCTAAACCAAGGCCATTGCATGACATGATCCTTCCCAATATGGTGCTTAATAGACATTTGAATCAACTGTTTCTGATGTCATGATCCTGACTCCCTTAAATTAATGTGTTTATCATTTGGTGCAGATGGCTTTTAGGCTATCCAGTCGTATACTTGTTTAGCAAAGAGCATACATCTCATGCTGTTTGCAATCTATCAACTAGGCCTCTTCATATTTTCAAGATTCTAGTTTGCAGGTCTGGTGCTGTCTCTTCTTTTATGGATTAACTCTGGCTTTGTAGCATTAGTGCTTTCACTTAAACCATGATTTTCTTTAAAAACTAGGAAAGGGGCATCTGCAAGAGAAAATTCGCAGGAGGAGGAACTAATGAGGTGGGTTTTAGCAGTCTTTTCTTGATTGAGGTTCCATTCTTGGACCTTTTTGTTTTCAAAGAGCATGTGTGTGTGTGTGTGTGTATAATCTCAATCTGAGTCTTGCTATGCCACCAAAATGAGAAAGCTTGTATAATGTTCTACAAGAGAGAGAGAGAGAGAGAGAGAGAGAGAGAGAGATTGTTCTATGAGAGAGATTATGTAGTGTTCTATTATACATTATTCTAAGGGAGAGAGATTCTTCACTGTTCAGTGAGAGAGAGAGGGAGATTACAATGTTCTGCTTTTTTGGGTAGGGTGTCGAGGATTTGTTTCAATCATTTGGGCTTTGATTAATCCTCATCACTGATCTTAATCTACGTTTTTTGGGTGGGGTGTTGCGGATGTATTTCAATCATTTGGGCTTTAATTGACCATCTGCACTGATCTTAGTTCCCCCCCCCCCCTTCTCTCTCTCTCTCTCTCTCTACTACTACTACTACTAC